ACACCACCTCACAGGGACATCTCAAAGACTAATGAGATCATGTCTAGTGGGCTGAAAGCACTCTGAAGGCAGATACAGAGTGCGATTACCACCTCCTGATAGCTGTGGACTAGGGCAAGGGAAGCTAAAGAATCAAGTTTTTGTAGCATGTAAGCTAGATGTTACATGCGGGAACAGATATTATCCCAAGATGTCCCATGACCCTGTCTACATCTGAGTCATTATACACAACAGAGAAGTGGACCTTTCAAATGGTCTTGAATTCAGTATATCAATTGCAGCATTGGCAACTGGGTCAAGTACTTAATTTCTATAGGCTCTGCTTTCTTTACCTGTAAAGATAGAAATAATATGTAGATCTTGTAGGGTGGAGGTGAAAATTAAAAGTGAAAACCATGCTCTTAGAGTTCAGTGTTTCTCTCTCATGAAGAGAGAACTCAATAAATGGCAGTCCCTCCTCCCCTTTAAGACACACTGGGCATTATACAAAGTACCTTAAAAAAGGAGTCTGTCTAGCTCACAGAACAAATTTTGAGGGCATGCAAATCACACAAAAGTAGCCACCAATTACCAATGAGCCACATCTCCTAAACTCTGCTTAGCCACTTAGAGTATTTTATTTCATAGAAACAAGGCTATAGCAGTAGTTGGGTTGCCAACCTAGCTCACAGGAGCACACTTACTCAGAATAGGGATAATATCATTACATATAACATTAACTACTTCCAGGTTGATTTTGGATTCCTAAAATGAGGCAATCTCTGAGTCTTATGAAAAAAAGAGTAAGAAGGTTACAGGAGTCCAGGTCAGAAGAGACATAAGGTAGCAGCAGTGCACTAGAAAGAGGAGGAAATATTCACACACATATCCCAAGTGGCCCCAGTAAGGGCCTGCAATAAGAGGGTGTCAACGATGTCTCTGAGAGCAAAAGAAAACGGGAATGGAGCAACTCCTAAAACACTGGAAGAGACCCAGTTTTCTGCTGTAAGAACACAAGATTTGTCTTGGATGTGGTGAATCTGTAAGGTTGGTGCACATGGAGATCACTCCCATTTCCACAGCCCAAATGTACAAACCTTTGGGAAGATAGATTTTGAAAAGAGTAACAATCTAAAGCAATCTGGATTTGAAATAACCATTAAGTTACTTATAGCCCCATACCTTCCCAAATGTCTGCACTGATCGAGAAAAATGCCCAATTTTAAGTGCCTAAAAAAGAACAAGGCTAGTTCACAGAACAAATTTCAGCTGCATAAAAGCCACACAAAGGTAGCTGGCTAGTTTACAAAAGAGGCTCATCTCCAAAATGTGCTTACTCAAAAGAAACAGTAAAAATGACCTTAAGGAAACAGGACTATAGTTGAGGGGAGAGGTCTCTGCTGATAATGCAGCCTGCAATGAACATCTATTGCCAACACTGAAGTTTCAGTGTACTCTGGTTTCTTGCAATTCCATCTCTTCCACCATTTTTGAACCTCCAATTGTCCAAACAAATTCCAACTTTAAATACAATGGTTCCCATGGTGACAGAAATTCTGCAATTAGGGGATGGGAGTTATAAGAATGATTCATATATATTTTAAAATGTTGTATTACATGGATAAAAAATACTGAGGTTCAACTTCAGACATTCTGTGAGGTATGTGGGAGAAATCTCAATGAAGATCCTAGTTGTTACTTAATTCTGCTAAAAGTAAAATGACCAGGGCATACAAATTCTTATATTCCATGGGCTAATCTCTATGCATTAAGGAGAAAAATATTATAAACACAGAAAAAAATCACTCTTGCTATTAGAAGAGAACTGTAGTCCTTGTTCTTTTAGGAAGACATCTATCCCACCATCTTATTCACACTGAGAAAATCACTGAGAAAACTAGAAGACATGTTAAAGTTATCATGATGAGCCCCTGAAGAAATTAACAAGAATATCCTTTACCACAGATATTCCTTAGTCAAGATTTTAGTGAAAAGATGGCAGATGGTAAAGAGGGGATGGGAAGGGAGTTGGACCACGTGATAGGGCAATTCAGGCAGCTTCCAAAACACTTCAAGGATACACACATATTCTTCTGCCACAACCTCAGTCAGAAACACACACACACACACACACACACACACACACACACACACACACACACACACACCCTTTAGCATTAGCACATACTCATTTTGTGGAAGCTAAAGCCCTTATGCCACATCTAACTAGATAATACTTTACTCTTAAATCCATGCACTGAGTTGAAAAGGCAATGAAGTCAGCAAACTCAACAATGAAAGACATGGAAAAGATACCCCTTAGGATATCAGTCAGATTAGTTGTACACTAATGCAGTCTCTTGATGGCAACAGGAATAAATCATAAAAGTAGGGCTGTCCTGGATTCTATACAACGATATTATCAAGCAAAACCACACCATATACCTTACTGGTATCTGAACAAACACAAAAACTACTATCAAAGGATTTTCATAATACAACTCCAGGAGAGAGGAAAGGCAAATAATATTCCCAGTTCACAAGGGATAAAACCAAGGTTCCAAAAGCAATATGATTAATTAAGGCACTTATCCAGAACTAAAACTAAGGAGTAAATCGACATGAATTTCCAAAACTGGGGTGAAGGTCATTAATGTCAAGAAAACACCTGAGCAGTTTACCTTCAATCTTATTTCTCTATATTCTAGCAACTCATCACAATTGTCATATTATGGACTATCTGGGAAGGTCAAATAATAGTCTAGGCAGAGAAGATGAGTTTACCTTCATTATCTTCCTTAAGCTGTGACAGGCTGCCCTAATCAGCTTTCGTGCACACAGGCACATAGACACACATGCTCCCTTGCGGTGCCTCTGAATCACCACGTGCCATGCTGAACAGCTGCAGAGGTCTGAAGGGAATTGGCAGAAATGTACAATGATGTGCTAGCCACCCCCCTGAGGCAGCAACTGCCCTGCCTGCTCCCAGACGCCAGAGCACATGGGTGTTCACTGTCGCAACTGATGGGCCCAGAAGACAGGCAAGTGGTTTCAGGTGGTGAGTCAGAAAAAGCAGTTTGCATCAGGAATGTTCCAGCGCAGCAGAGCTGAGCTGCATCCTACTCACTACGCAGGGATACGATATTTATCATTTTTCCATATCACTGTGGGGGACAAAACCTGAGCTCAGCACAATAGAATCCAATCAAGTCTGTTGCACAGGAACCAGTAAGCCAGGCTTCTCCCACTGAGAAGGAGCCTAACTGCTTAAGAATTGCCATCATATCTGACACTGGAGGCCAGTCCTTTTATCCTGTAATGGACGACTCTACAATGGCCTGGCACTAGTCTTTGAGAACAGAGCCATTGGACTAATTTTCCAGGACCACCCAGCAGCTGCTGCAATAAGCTATGATCTATGTTCCCAAAGATGACACAGAAGCAGGGTAAGGCAATATTCAAAGAAACCAGGTGGGTGCCATAATACATGCTTCACAAATGGCTGCAACGAATCAGATATATGCTGTCACGCTTTTCAATGAGAGCTTAGATGGATTTCAGTAGAAATTCACACTTGTGAGGCCAATTCCTTGGTTGTCTCTATGCAATTGTTTATGAGCCCGTAAACGAGTGATATGATATTGGCCTGGTGAAATAGAGGCATTAGACATGAGATCAGACAACAGGAGATCTAGAAATGAAAGAGGCTGAAAGCCATCATTCACACTACACTTCATGAATGAATACAGTATTCTGTCAAGTTTTATACAATGACAGATGAGCCTATTCTCTGAAGAAACCCGAGAAGATTTAATACTCATTTTAGGGAATCCAGTTTGATTTTTCTACCTCAAAATTAGCAACTTCACCCTATAACCAATTTTAAAACCTCTTGCTATAGTTATCCGCCCAGTGACTATGACATATAAAAAAATTGGTTGTATTTATATTTATGATATACCATTCTGGCATGAGTTCAAAAGCCAGAGGCTTATCAAACCTGTTGTAACATCAATTAATTTAATAACGAATGCTAATATGGCTTTCATGTGTTATGGTCAAACAAAAAAAGGAATGGCCTTACTCTTCTGAAGATACAATAAAAATTGAGCCAATATATGAAATTTCTCCTAGAATAAAAACTGAAGCTAAGTAAGGAAAAGATGAATCACAGTCCCTCCCTGAGCCGACTTCAGTTACCATCAAAGGAACCATCCTTTCATTTTCTTTGCTCATTCAGGCCACAAGTCACTATCCAGAACATTTTGGGTAGAGGTATCAGCAAAATTAAGGAAATGCTCACTATTAGCTTTCCAGAATGTAAATTCTGTAGCTGGTCACAGAATACTATGCTCTAATGAAGAACACAAAGAGATGCATTCTAGGACCTCTGAGCTGTTGCACTAGACTACAAGTCAATGTGCTGTAGAAAAATCTGCACGGGAACTACCAGGAAGCTACGCATCCCTTTCTGACAAAAACGACTCCCAGAGCACCTGCAGTAGAGGCAGTAGGAAATGTGACAAGCCAGAGGACTACAGGTAGCATTCAGACCACAGTGTATCCCAATAAGCTTGCTCCCAGTCTAAGGAGAGCTCCTCTTCCCCTTAGCCAGTCATTCCCTCAGAAGTGGGGGGATGAAAAAGCAACAATCTTCCCTCACTAGTAAATCCCACAGCCCTGGGCTTTTAATGAAAGTGGCTAGAGAGAACAGGAGAGCCAAGTGAATGGAGCTCAGGGCAATATGCAATTATTGAAACTGGAATTGAGCCTGGACCCTGCCGTGAGAGCACTAGCAATCAAACTGTGGTCAGGGCCCCAATTTTAAACTTCTCCCAAGAGGTACCACTTCCTGACACACAGACACGCCTTTCTTCATATCAAAGTAATTCTGCTTGACTTCATGGAGGAATGTCATCTGCTGGCAAAGGGTCCGGATTAAAATAATTGTCTCCAAAGAATTAGCTTAAACCCAAAAACCCAACCACCTGCAAATGTTTCTGTCATCATCACTAACTTACCTTCTTCCCAATAAGCTTTTTTCGCAGAAATTCCCGGGCCTCAAACATGTAGGGAATGTCATACAAGGGACGTAGTTTCTTGTTCTTATCCTAAAAGCAAAATAAAACACCAAATCAGGAATGAAAAAGCAAACAAAAAAATAAACACAGTCAATTGCACAAGATACTGGAATATATCTGAAATTGGTTCTCTCTTGGAATCAGAGATATTCCTTGAGTGCTAGTCACATAATAATTAATAAATATTTGGTTGAAATGTTTTATTGGAAGTAGGATCATCTTTTTTCACATGACAAGCTCAAAAACAAGAAATAGAATGTTTGTAATTACCCAAAATGGAAACAACTTAAATGTTCATTAACAGGGAAATGGCGATAGAAACTGTAATTAGAAGATGTTCAATAAGTAGAAGGCACTTTCAAATATTTATTGATATTTTAAATCTAATTCTACTATTCCAATAACCCTTCTTCAGCAACTACCAACTATTAGCTTCACATAAAATATTCTGTAAATATATGTGTAATCCCAGACTCAAAAATCTTCAAACTTAAAACAGTAATACAAGAAATCCTGTAGGATTTCCAGGTATCAAATAGCAACACAAAGTGGTTTTGATTAAGTGCTAAATATTGTCCCTAGTCTATATTATTATTGTTGTTAAGAGTTCGGGGAAGTGGAAAGAAAGAAGTAATCAGGAAATGTTACTGATAAGGTGGAATTTAATGAGTTTGTTGGATAGTAAAGAACTAGGAAGAAAATTAGAGTTGGAAAAAACAGAATAAGCAAAAGGAGAGAAGCAAGAAGGAATACTATGTACACACACACACCCACACACACAAATTACCTCATTATCTCATGAGCCCTAGACTTCCTCCCCAAAGAGGAGGTTATTCCAAACAATGTCATTTAGAGCTGATGCCCCAGAGGGTCTAGATGAAGGTGGCAGAAGATGGGATAGGAACCTGACATTTAAAGAAATGAATTAACAAGAATTGACAACAGCATAGAGAAGGGGAATACAAGAGGAGTAGGAATCAGATATTGAGTCGTGATGACATGCCCAAGCTGAATCCTTTGCCTTTTGGGGGGGGCTGAGAAGGAGCAGAGAATGTGTATAAGAAATAAGAGATTGGCCAGGCTCAGTGGCTCAGCCTGTAATCCCAGCACTTTGGGAAAGAGGCGAGTGGATTGCCTGAGCCTGCAGGTTCGAGACCAGTCCAGGCAACTTTGTGAGACCTCATCTCCACAATACATCAAAAATTAGCCAGGCGAGGTGGCATGTGCCTACAGTTCCAGCTACTGGGAAGGCTGAGGTGGAAGGATCGCTGGGGTCCAGTGGGTTGATGCCGGGGTGGTTGTGAGTGTGTCACTGCACTCCAGCCTGGGAAATAGAGCAAGAATCTGACAGAGAGAGAGAGGGAGAGAGAGAAAGACAGAGAAAGAGAGAGAGGGAGAAAGGAAGGAAGGAAGGAAGGAAAGAAGGAAGGAAGGAGGGAAGAAAGGGGAAGGAAAGAGGAAGGAAAGGGAAAGGAAAGGAAAGGAAAGGAAAGGAAAGGAAAGGAAAGGAAAGGAAAGGAAAGGAAAGGAAAGGAAAGGAAAGGAAAGGAAAGGAAAGAAAAGGAAAGGAAAGGAAAGAAAAGGAAAAAGAGATCTTGGCTAGACCAGTTGGTATAATTAATGTCTCTTTCTCACTAGCCTGTAAGTCCCAAGACAACAAAAACCCTGTTCATTTGGTTTTCTTTAACTCCCCAGTCCCTCACAGTACATACTCAAAAATTATTTAAGGTAAGTAGCCCCAAGAACATGCAGAATGTTATATAAAGACCAAGTATGCTAGAGGAATAAGACTATCAGTACAGATTTGGGAATCTCTAGGACCCAGGTAATATTTGAAAAAAACTACAGAAAGGAGAACATCAAGAACTGACTCTTAACCTAGAGGTACATCACTGACTCCCCATCCTCTGCTTATTCAACCTAGCCAAACCTTTGCCACCTATTATGCATGTGACAAAATAAGACACCTATGTGTAATCTAATCTGTAGTCAAAAAAATATATTAAGTTACTTTTTCCTTAAATAGCCAACTACTCTCAAATAAACAATCTTCATCATGTTAATGCCCTATTTAAAAATCATCTTATGGTCAATATTGTGGTTAAGGGGATTAAAATAGATGTTTCCTGCCAGGCACAAGCTAAGCCTCAATGTCTCAAGCACATCATATAAACATTCAATTCATTGATTATGACCAAGAAAATGTCTTATGAGAATGTAGATAATATTTTCAGTTTCAAGGAAATTGGAGGTTCACATTCATTATCGAACTGTTTTCATTTTTATTTTTATTTTTTATTTGTTTGAGTTGGAGTCTCACTCTGTGCAGCCTCGACCTGCTGGGCTCTGGCGATCCTTCCGCCTCAGCTTTGCGAGTAGCCGGTATTACAGGCATGCGCTACCACACCCGGCTGATTTTTTGATTTATTGTAGAGATGAGGTCTCGCTGCCCAGGCGGGTCTCGAACCCGCGGGCTCAGGCAATCCACTCACCTCAGCCTCCCAAGGCGCGGGATTACAGGCTGAGCCACCGAGCCCGGCTTACTTCCTGTTTTTAAAAAAGGATCATCGCCACCATCGTCGTTGTCACCATCATCATCAACATCATCATCATCCCAGCATGCTCGTAGAAGTTAACACGTCTCCTTCTCCCAGACTAATGTATGGGATATACTCTAAACAGGGTGTAGCACTGGGGTGGTGGAGCTCTGATCAGGGTCCTAGAGTGTCACGATCATTGTCTAATGAGTGGGATGACCCTAAACATAAAAATTTTTAGAGAAATAAAATAACATTGAGGTTTTCTTGCAGAAAATAACAGAGAAAATGGAACACATGAAAGGTGCCTGGGTTAGGGGAGTGCTTTTTTAACACAAGGGACATATGTACAGGATTCTGAATATTTTATAAATGTCCTGGATACCACATGAAAATAGTAGGTCACAAATTAGCAGCCTAGTGTAACATATGTAAAGCCACAAAATAGAGTTAGTGATGGCACTCACTAACTCTATTGAGTGATTGAGTAATGATACAGTATGAATGTTGGCCAGACAAGATACTAGGTGCCACTAATGCACAGGACTTTTAATAAAGACAAAAATCAATGGTTATCAGAATCAGCTCTCAGGAATAAAGAAGTACCAGTGTATTCATATTCACCAAGCAACAGAGGACAGCCCGTTTACAGAGAGTAGACGCTTGATTACAAAAGCCCAAGTGAATATTTTCAAAAATGAAATGAACAAAATAACAACACTGACCTTACATAGTCTTATGATTTGCCACAGAACCTGAAATCCTGCACCTTACCCACATAGTCTTTTTATTTTTTTAAAAATATAGGGTCTTGCTATATTTCCCAGGCAGGTCTCAAACTCCTGGACTGTAGCGATCCTCCCATCTCAGCGCCTCCATAATAATGAGACTATAGGTGCATGCCACTGCACCCATCTCCCTACGTATTCTGAAACAGCACAGAAGTACACGGTGATTTGACTGGAACTCTAAAATCTGGAATGAGAGGTAAGAACTACAGCACCAACAAGTGTTCAAATGAAGATCATGAAATGAGGTACACCTAAATGTGTGAAAATGGTTGTCTAAATAAGAATTCTGCTTTTAGGACCCTCCATAGTACTGAGCCAAGGAAAATAACCTCAAAAGAATGAAAGAAAATAAGTCGTGAAACAACACCCCAGTAAAAAACAGGCCAACTTCAGAATCTGATTATATGTCTTTCATGAAACTAGAAAAGAACTAATAGCACAAGCAAAAAACAAGGTATCACAGAGTGATTTTGTTACTCTAACCCTTCAGAGCTAGTAGTTATTGACATCTGCAAACATCTTACAAGAGAGATATTAGAAGTCCCTAAGAAACCACAAAATAAAAGCAATTCCTCCAAATTACCAGGTACATAAAAGCCTTTGAAATCTCTAAGAGGCAATTGAGGTATAGAATGTAGTCTCAGAAAACAGGACTTTAGCAGAATCTTGCCTGCTTAAAAAGAACTGTCTAGTTTAGATTCTAATTTACATGGAAATATTTTTTAAAAAAATGAAAATATAAAAGAATGCTTGCTTCATCTCGTGGGCGGATAATATACAAACCAATATGTGCTGTAATCACTATTCACCCTCAGAAATGACATTGCATGTAGGCCCTGCAGTGACTCACATTACAGACGGAAGAGATAACGTCAGTCATCTGTACCTCTCACCAGTTTGGGAAGAAGGCCCAATATCCACATCGTAGCATCTAAAAACACAGCCAGCATTTTTACAGGAAGGTATTTTTGGCTTGTTGCCAAAATGAGAAGCCTGGCCAGTGTTCACTAGGAGGGAATGAAAGGGATTGCTAATCAGGTCCATATTCTCAACTCCTGTTCAGACCTAGCTCTACCTAGCCTCATCTTAAAAATGGTATTCATAAAACTTAATAACATTGGAATGGTGCAGGATTTTTCTTAAACAAGGGTTGGGGGGAGGAAAGAATGAAGAGGGAAAAAGAATATAAACGTATTTATTATCACAGAACTATATACTTAAAAATGGTAAAAGTAGTAAAGTTTACAAGTACATTTTACCTCAATTTTTAAAAAGTATGAAAAAATTTTTGAGGCTGTATAGACACAACTCACATTTTAAAAAAGGATCGATAAGTGTGGCTCTTTCAAAAATTTAAAGAGCTTTTCACTGAAAAGGCATCATGAAAAAAGTGAAATCCAAAGCACAGACTAACAGGTGATGAGTGAGGCGGAGAAAGAAAAAGTAGAGCAGGAGGTGAGGGAACGCAGGTGCAGGGCCATGCGTCGTGTGACCAGGCAGGAGAGGAGCTCACTCTATCAAAGATTCAAAGAGGCATGGGACGTGCAGTACTCTGAAGAAAGGCAAAGCTAACAGTCAATGTGCACTGGAAACAAGCCTGGTGGATTCAAGACAGAGCAAAGACACCGCGGGCAAGAGCAGAGGGCAGTGAAGGTGGTAGGAGATGGTCGAATGTAACAGCATTTGAAAGAATTACTTTGGC